AACTATTTTTAATATAACTGAGGGTATTGTTAGATGCAGGGCTGGTGCAGGGCTGCCATCAGAGGGGTATGGCCAGTACTCGTCTAAGGGGCCCCAACCAAGTACTTTTTGCTGTAAACCAGGGGTCAACAATCCTAACCAGAGGATTCTACTATCCCTGCTTGACAGGAATATTGTAGGAGAATATATGGAGGTGAATTTCACCCATGTTTGTGAGTTGTAGTGTCTGCATGCCACTCACCTACCTGACGCTAGCCTTTATACTTCTGCACACAAACAGTTCACTTACAAATGCACAGCAGAATCTTGATCCACAAATAGCTTTGATTTTATTCCTGCCCTAATATACTGAATTTGTGGATTAAGATTCTGCTGTGCATTTGTGGGAGCCTGCATGTGTGCATAATACATAAATCTTGATCCATCTAGGTAGGTTATCAATTCCACAGTGTTTGGGACTGATATGCTGTCTGAATTGTATGGATTGGTGCTGTCATGTATTGTTTCTGGTCTGAGATCTGCCGTGTATTGGTTCTGGTCTGAGGTCTGCCGTGTATTGGTTCTGGTCTGAAGTCTGCCGTGCATTGGTTGTGGTCTGAGGTCTGCCGTGTATTGGTTCTGGTCTGAGGTCTGCCGTGTATTGGTTCTGGTCTGAGGTCTGCCGTGTATTGGTTCTGTTCTGAGGTTTGCCATGTATTGGTTCTGGTCTGAGGGTCTACCGTGTATTGGTTCTGGTCTGAGGTCTGCCGTGTATTGGTTGTGGTCTGAGGTCTGCCGTGTATTGGTTCTGGTCTGAGGTCTGCCGTGTATTGGTTTTGATCTGAGGTCTGCCGTGTATTGGTTCTGGTCTGAGGTCTGGCGTGTATTGGTGCTGGTCTGAGGTCTGGCGTGTATTGGTGCTGGTCTGAGGTCTAGCATGTATTGGTTCTGGTCTGAGATCGGCCGTGTTTTGGTGCTGGTCTGACATCAGCTGAAAGTAACATCCTACAGGACAGACATAGCACAACTGAGCCATAAAATACAGGCACATGGATCAAACTAAAACTGTAAGTCCAGTTTACTTTTCAGCACATGTAAATATGAACATGTTTTGTGTGTGCACCAGTTATTCATATTTTTCACTTATAGTTGTGCTGCTAATGACCTGCTGCGACCCACTGCATCTGCCCCTGCTGCGACCCTCTGCACCTGCACCTGCTGCGACCCTCTGCACCTGTCCCTGCTGCGACCCTCTGCATCTGCCCCTGCTGCGACCCTCTGCTTCTGCCCCTGCTGCGACCCTCTGCTTCTGCCCCTCCTGCGACCCTCGGCTTCTGCCCCTGCTGCGACCCTCTGCTTCTTCCCCTGCTGCGACCCTCTGCTTCTGACCCTGTTGATACCATCTGTTTCTGCCCTTGTTGATACCATCTGCTTCTGCCCCTGTTGATACCATCTGCTTCTGCCCCTACTGCAACCCTCTGCTTCTGCCCCTGCTGCGACCCACCGCATCCGCTCCTCCTGCGACACCTCCGCCCACGACATCAGGCCGGCCTCCTGGAGCAGAGCAGTAGCACAGAGAATGTAGCAAATTCTTATACTGTTCTGCATTGCTGTATAATGTATTGCTGGCATTTGTAGTCCTCTATAGCTGATGGTATTCTGCATTGTTGTGTAATGTATTGCTGGGATTTGTAGTCCTCTATAGCTGATGCAATTCTGCATTGCTATGTAATGTTTTGCTGGGATTTGTAGTCCTCTATAGCTGATGGTATTATTTTTCAGTGGCAGAACTACCGGGGTCTCAGCAGTTGCAGCTGTGATTGGGCCCTGAAGTTCCACCACTTTCCTAAAATCATTAGTCTTTATTGTTTTAGAAAAACTGTCACAACACAAAAAAAAAGGTATTGGTAATTGGTATCGGTGAATACTTAAGGGAAAGTATAGGTACTCGTATTTGGCCTACAAAAAATGGTATAGGTGCATCTCTACTCCCATCCATGCCTGTACCTCGTGGCAGACATGGCAAAAATCCTTGGTTGTAAAGTGTTTCCCTGAGGCCCCCAGTATGGAGGAGAACCGGAGAAGCTGATGTCTGCTGCAGGTGCCTGGAACCTAGAGGACCTCTGGAGCATGGCTGGTGTCTCTCCTGCTAAGGATTCATGTTCACCCCTGCTCATCTGTTACTCCAATTACTATTCACTGTACCACAAGTGGATCTACACTGAGATGCTTAAGGGCTTGTTCACACCAAATGCAGACCAGATCTGCATGAGTTTCTGCACACGCAGTGCAGTGGGTTGTCCCCACATTTTTGATGCGTTCCGGGCCATTTGTGGTTAAAAATTTTTTTTAAATTGTAACGTTTAAAATTGGCTTTCAGTGCGTTCCAGGGCATTTGCATGCATTCCAGAGCAGGTAAAATAGGGCAAAGAACCGATCTGCCCTATGTGAGAAGTGACATTGCAGGACCGATCAGCTGTTTTAGGGCAGATCAGTTCTCCTGCACATGCAATTTGCGATGCCGATCTGCCCTGGAACAGCTGGGAAAGTGCTGGAATGCTTCACTTTTTGGCGGTCACACATTCCACCGCCAAAAAACTGGGCGGGATTACGTTAAAACGTGTTACCATGTCACCGGTCACACATTCTAACATAGTCACAACCTTTGTTAGAACACCGCCATCAGGGGGGTATGGCCGGTACCCATGTGAGGGGTCTGGGGGGCCTCTTACATCAACTGTACCGGGGCGGCATGGCAGAGGTGACAGGGGAGGGGGTGTAGGAGGAAGGGCCCCAGCAGTAGCAGGTAAGAAGAGTTGGGAGGAGGTACAGTGAAAGGGATCCCGACGACCAGACCACCTGGGACCCTGCAGAGCCCACCATAGAGAGTCTCAGGTGGGCTATGCAGGATCTATGGTGTGCTCTGCAAGTCTGGTGAGTCTGAAGTCTGTCTGTTACACCCTGGATGTCTGGGATCCCTATACCCTCTCTCCCCAGTGTGAAGAAATTTAATAAAAAGTTATTCAGCATTGCATTACTGAGTGGACATCAGCTTTGTGGGCATTAGAAGAGAGCGGTTAAATGCTAATGGGGCAGCTGAAGACCAAATCCCCTAGACAGACTAGTGATGAGCCGGTTATTCCAGCAGCTCTTTCAGGGGTGAGCGCTACAGTTATATCAGTGAAAAACACATTATTAAAAACCATGGAAACATAATAAAATCTCCATCAACCGTGTGCCCTGCTCCATATATACTTAGGGGTGACAGAAGTTTGCACATGCACAGCCTTCCATTGGTCGTTGTTGGGTGAGATTGTTATCCACTTGACCTGGGCTGGAGGAGGATGTGGCACATGCGCATGACGGGGGAGGACTCGGCGCATCGGAGGACACTGAGTGTTGGAGAAGCCCCCACTGATGTGCAAGTTGAAAGACAGTGGGCAGCGGGAGTCCTTTCCATGGTTTCCCACGCCATTGATTGCATTTTAATAGATGCAGATGTTGTAAATCATACAGGCTGTACATCTGATGCAGCTGGCGGTTTTTGGCCACTGTGCAGTCTGTTTGGGGGGAATAAAATGGAATACAGTTGAGCCACGAACACCTAGAAGAGAAAGGCATGTGGATGTTTCAATGGGTTGTGGATGTTCTTGCTGATGACTGGGAGGCTCAGCCCTGAGACATACTTGTATAATGTGTCATCCAGTGGAGAGCAGCTGTTTATTTTCAACATTATACAATCCAGGATCTATATTGGCGGATACATTGTGATATGCCGGCCGGGTTCTATAAATGAAACTAAATTATTTATCTGTTTAGATGTTGTTGGATTGATATAAAAGGGACACATTTGGGCAGATATCCCCATTATCATTATTTACTCTCAGTGAAAGGAGTTATACAGTATGATAATGAATTCCTGGAAGGAAGTTGGGCTGAGCTTAACATAGTTCCTTACCCCTCTCTCTGGATCCATCTCATCTGGACCTATCCTGTGGAAATGTATCACAGACAATGACATACAAATACCATTTCTGAACACTTTTATACATTTTTAGATATATGCTGAACATGTGTTTACTTATGTCTCTGGATTCCCCACCACAAGGAAATACTTAGGAGTATATACCACTAAGTATATACAGTGCAGGATACATGGTTGATGGGTTTTTTGTTATGTTACCATGGTTTTTAATAATGTGTTTTTCTTGATATAACCTTTTTATTTTTTCTGTTTACCTTGTAATGTATGTACATTTTTTGCAAATCATGTACGGTGGTTATAGTGATTAATTGATTTACAAGAGATATTGTATTAACAGAGTTCTCATAACCATGTGGATGGCAGAATAACTAGACTCAACATTCTCCCATTGGCTTAATTTATTGCAATGTAATATTTTTTTTTATAAATATGCTATGGGAATTGGCTTATGTGTCTTTAATTTATCATAGTGATTGTTTCTTATATCAGTAGATACAAATTCCCAACATTTGCTATGCATATGCAGTGTTAGTTTTCTCTTGTGTGTATTCATTCAGCACACCCCCAAAACAAGCACTATAGTGATCTATTGAGAAGTGAGAAGTGGAAGACATTCCGGATGTGCATATAATTGGGAATGAAGTTTGGTATCTCCACTACCATAGGTTCACTCACTGTGCATCCCAAGAATTAGCAAACTTTACGAATCACACATTTTTGTACAAAAGGTTTGCAGATTCACCACCAGAAGTAAGAAACAACCCATATTGCTGTGCAATTGCCCCTGGTCAGCAAGAAACAATAATTTGAAGGAATAAATAACCCAGCCCTCATTTAAAGTGGACTCACAGCTGTAATGTTGCCTGTGGGTGTAGGAACTGTGAAGGAGAGCTGACAATTAATACATGTCCCCATGGCAGTGCCCAGTTATCTATGCCTTTTTTCTATCAAAATGAAGCTTTCTTGCTATGGATTTACTAATTACATTTTACAAACAAAATATAACATTATTTGACTCCTTGTTTTGTATTTCTAGTTGCTGACTTGTCCCTAGAATCTTCAGGAGGACATGGAACAGAATAGACCATCTGTAAAATGGTTTATTGAAACACAGTCACACTGGTTTATACAAAATGGAATCCCTGAATGGTTTCATGGCGTGATCACAAGGAAGTAAGGATTTATATTTCTTTTTTTCTTCAAAAAGGGATAGAAAATATGAATGTGTATCAATACCTAATTCTCACTGTAAACTGCTTTTCTTCCCGCAATTTGAGGCTTCCAAATTTTCTTTCCTGGAAAATAAATATTCTCCTGAAAATAACATATTTTAGCAACAGAAATTGTTATGGTGTTTCATGGATTTCTTTTTCTTTTTGTGCAAAGGGAAAGAAGACTCTATTTATGTCTCTATGGCCATTATTGACAGTTAATTCTAAATTGATGACCTGTATAGGCTTTTAAAGTGCTGTCTATGGACAATTTGACGTACAGACGTTTTTCTCTGTTTCATGGGCGCACACAATTTTGAGGCTTGACACGCTTGGTATCTTTTTACTCAACGCAACCTTATAGTTAAGATTTTACCAAAATTGGGTACTATATTGTGTTTGTGTGCACTAAAATTATTTTGGATGCATTTTGTACGGAAAATTTGTACGGAAAACTGTTGGGCTAATATTGTGTAACGTAAGTTCAGCTGCCACTATTTAATTCTACAGGGTTTCTGATTTCAGAAAATATATCATAAACTTTTTAGGCCGAAAATGTGTATTATAACATGTGTGCATAAACTCCAAACCCCAACACTAAAACACTAAACCATCAGCCTTTTTTGTGTGTTTTTTTAACTCTAACGGAAAGAATAATATATATAAAAATGTGAAGAAAGACAAATCAATAAAACAAAAAAAAACTGCAAAGGGGAGCAGCTATACAGCAACGGAAGTTGTTGCTGACGTACACAAAAAAGTAGAGCTAGAAAGTACTGTTTGGTCTACGCACAGTGAACACAGAGTGTGCGTCAAGTATAAACTTGTTCCAAGCACAGACAAAGCATACTTGAGCATACAGTTGAGTGCACCAAACCACCACTTCCTCAATCCACTTTTTGCAATAGCTGCTAATAATGTTAGAAAATCCCTTGTATTCATAATATCAGACAAGCCCAAAGGCAGATACAGAGGTTCTGCATGTGAAGCAAGCTAGTAGGGAGCAAGCAGATGCTGCATCCGCAAATGAAAACATGTGCCTAAACCATATGATTCACTATTAGAAGTGAGGACCCCATGGACTCTTGCGTGCCCAGGCTGGACCACTGGCTGGAGATTGCAAAGTAAACTCTAATTTATATTTCACAATAAAACCTGCGTGGTCTTTTACATGGTGTGCATCAAGTCTATGTTGTGCTTAAAATCTACCTGGGGCCTACTAAAGCCACTTACACAATGAGGGGAAATTTATCAAAACTGGAGCAGACAAAAACTGGAGCAGTTGCCCACGGCAATCAAACAGCATCTCTCTTCAGTTTGCTCAGTTGGGATTTGAAAATTAGAGATAGAAGCTGATTAGTTGCAATGCAAATCTGCTCCAGATTTTGTCTGCTCTAGTTTTGATAAATTCCCCCCACTTTGTTTGAGTCTGAACAATAATTCTGGCTTTTTTCTGTAAAATTAGACACTTTAATTTTCATTTCTTGATCAAAACCTGCCTAGTCTCTCCTAAACCGTTGCCTACTAAAGCTGCTTACATAATGTGCATCAAGTTTGTAAAATCTTTCAGTCTTTTTTCTGTGAAATAATACAGTCTAAAATTTTCATCTATTTTTCTGTACGTGGTGCTTAATGTTGCTTTTAAGGGAAAACATTGCAGCTTCTAAAGAGTTCCATATGGGGAAAATTGCATGCAACTAAATCCGCTTTACAGACTTTCAGAGTTTTTTCTTTGGCTAATGTGGTACTATAGTGGCTATAAGGCTCTTCCTCAAAGGATCCCCGAGTGCAAATATTTCTGCCTCCATTGAAGCCTCTCTGGGCCTAGGGAGAGATCTGTAATTAGGTCCGACGTGTGCAAAGTCACTGCAGTCCTTCTGGAGTCAAATATTTCTTTCAAACCACCCCATCGCCTCTTCTGGTGACAACCGACAATAATCGCATAACAAAAAGCAAATAGTAAGGGGAAATCTCATCAGGGAAAAAGACAACACAAGCCCATCCCCACTCTGGTCAAAACTAGATAACATTTTGACTGGAGTTCTGCTTTAAGCTGAAACATGCTGTCAACAAAAGGGCATAACTGGCCTTATTTATCAGTGTGTCTTTATTAAGACCTGGTTCACACCTGAACATTTTGTAGCGCGTTCAACGCTCGACGAACGCTCTACAAAACGCTCAAACATCTAAATCCCATTGTATTCAATGGGTCTGGTTCCCACCTTGCCGTATTTCCGCCCGTCCGAACGCTATACAAAACTGCCTACGCCCAAAGAAGTACATGTACTTCTTTGGGGCGTTTTGGTCTCGCGATTCCATTGGGAAACAGCCAAGTAGCCCACGGAAACGCGTGTTTGTCGCGCGTTTTTTTTACAGCGAATCGCGGTAAAAATGCGCGATGCGAACCGCGCGACAAACGCGCATATTCAATACGCCTAGGTGTGAACCCAGCCTAAGATATGTCTGTATTGCCAGGGAGGAGTTTGGGAGCTTTTGTATGAAATGTCTGGTAATAGGAATACTGTTTACTGTCCATAGCCTAATACTCAGCCTCAAACTGTAATTTCTGTAATGTAGATATATATTTAAAAGTCGACTTCAGAAACATTTTCATACATAAGCCCCTGTTCAAATCATTTTTCATTTCATCAATTAATTTTTCAGGGTCACCTTGAATCTAATGGTATCATACTTGCAAATCTTTATTGAGTCACATAAAAAATAAAGCCACGTTACTAACCAGACATGGGCACTTACAAACTCCCACACATTGTGGGTATGATTCAGTCAATAACTATTGTCACCGGCACCCATGTCAGTACAAGAAATTGCAGTCACATGCCTGTCATGAACAGGATCATATTACCTTTGTCCTAAATGCTTAGTACTTACTGTTCTGACATGAGTGATGACAACACGTGAGAAGATGTATTTAGGAAATGAAAGTCTCTGTGAGAGAATACACCTCGAAGTTGTATTTATGTCCTGAGTACATCTCTAAGATATGACTCAGCATTGCAGAGATTAAAAAAAAAGTGCGTTGATATGATATTAGAATTTTATGCAAATGGAATACTTTTAGGATGTACTGTGCTAGAAAATGATACATTGAGTCTCAACATATAAAGGTTATGTGACCTGATCAACAAAATCAGAAAATAAAAAAAACAGCATGGAAGACCTTAAAGGAGAACTATGGGGTGAGGCTTTTCACTCACCTCATAGTTCTAGCCGACCTGTGACAATGAGACTGTCACAGGTCGGCTCAGTAGATCGGGAAGTGAGCGAACACATACCAGCATTCGCTCACCTCTCGATCCTGTCACGGCTCTCTGCCGTGACAGGGAAGGGGCTGGATTCCCCCCTCCCCCCTCCGATCCGCCAGCGCTGACTGGCGGAACGGACGGCGGAGGGGGGGGGTACAGCTGGCTCTGCCTTTAGATAGGCAGAGCCAGCTGTCAGTCACGCAGCTGGGCGGATCCCGGCACAATTGTCGGGATCCGCTTCAGCTGCGGCGTCTCAGTATAACGCGAGCAGCTGCTCGCGGTATACTGCAGCGTCTCAGTATACCGCCAGCTACAGCTCGTGGTATACTGAGCCTAGGGTGACAGGAGGATGCTAGTTTTTGTCCTCCCGTTACCCTAAGGAGAACTATGGGGAAAAGACTTTGTATATGGAAGGCCACAAGGACTGTTTTAACCTGCATCCGATACTTCATGTAGGTCTGACAGCCTTTTCCCAGGTTTATTAGGCATGCAGGTTTATTAGGCATGGCCCCCCCATACCATGTGAGCAGGTTCCTTATAGTCCTTTTGTAAAGATGGGGCAGAACAGCAAGTAATTATTAAGACTCAGAAATAAAAATGGAATGTCTTAAGTGTTATTGCAGGGTTCTTAATCGGGCATTAAACCACACAAAAATATGAGATGCACTTACATACCGTAGTAATTCATCTAGTGCAGTCCTATGCAGGAAGGCATAGGGTAAGCTGGTATGGCTGAAAGGCAGCATGCCAGCTATTACAAAAACAAAAAATGCTGAACTATGATTTGCCACAAATATTCAGGCCAGTCATCATATGATCCAGATGAATTAGTTATTCTCTTGCACTGGGCAAGGTTTGTGCATTGTTTATAGGACTGCTCAATAGTTGTGTTCTCTGTGATCCTCAAGTAGGCAGTTTGCAAAGTAGTGTTTAAATAGACACACTTTCTTCCACTGATTGTTTTGCATGTCATAGAACTCAACACTGTTCACTTATCAAGGTGAACGTTGACAAAGCTTAGTAAATAAAGTGCAAGGGAATTTTTTTTTAAAAAGACAGGATGTCTGCATTGGATGATTGAAATGTACACAGTTTCACCACATTCACTAAGCTAAGTGAACATTCACTTCATAAAGTTTACATGCTCTATCCCTTTAGTAAATTAACCGTACTATCGTGTCACTGTAAATGGTAGAACAAAATTACAGTGCCCTGTACTTTAGCATACTTGTTTGCATTGTTTTTGGCCAAGAGTTTTGTTATTTGATGCTTTTATGAATTCCCAAAAACTGGGAAACTTTCGGATAAGTCAGACTCAAAGGGGCAATACCAGTCAAGTTGTGACTGACTGTCCCTAGGTCGGTACACAAGGGATTGTTTACGGCAATCTTATTGGGCAGCATTGCCTAAAACAGTCACAGTAGGACAGGTTGCATTTTGTGCAGCATGTTTAGACACACTCTAATGCATTGCAGGGTGCTGCAGCATATAGAGTTGAAAATAAAACCCAAGCACTGCAATGACTTTTATAAAGCATTGCAGCACGCATGCACAACATACACCAGCAGGCACACGATATGCACACCTTATGCCTGCTGGTGTGGATGAGCCTTAATGCAACAAGCTTACAAACTTAACTAGAAGCTGTCATTTGGAGCTATGTAGACCAGACCCAGGTCCCGACCTAACATAAAATATCTAAATATGGAAATCAGGTTATTGCAGTTTTTGCTTTTGTATAACATGGTGACATTAAAACAAATCTGTTTTTATTATAGAGAAGCAGAGAATTTGCTACAGGATAAGACACCAGGATGTTTTCTCATCAGAGTTAGCGAAAGCCGGATTGGATATAGCTTGTCCTACAGGTAATCTGATTTTTTTTATATGTGAAATTACGGTAACTAATTAGTATTTTATAATTTCACTGAAACACTCCAAAGCTAGCATACAAGTCCTGAAATGGCTAGGACCTGTATGCTAGCTTTGGATTGTTTCAATCACTCTATATACAGGGAATTGCATTTCCATTCATTGTGAATGCCACTCCAACATGTGTCAGTACACATTACATGTGTGCGTTGTGGTGCACTGCTTTGTACCACAGAAAAAAGGTCATGAGCATTTTATGAATTGTTGCAGTGCCTTGGCAGCCCTGTCATAATGAATGAGCTGCCTTAATGCAATGCACGTTAATGCTACACAAGACATTGAAAAAGTGAGGATGGACCTTTTTTGTTGGACCATTGCTCATTGAACAAATGCTTGTTTTGTTTACCTTTTAAATTGTTCTGATCATTTCTGGTGAAGAATATCTATATTTACAAAATTAATCAAACACATTTCACTGTGATTTGACTTGAGATTTGACGTATGAAATTAATATATAAAAAATACATAAATAGAATATAACATGGTTAAGTGAGATGGTCCCATCCTTTAAAATATTTAATAAACAATTAAATTCCAGAATAGTTGTAGAGATGAGAAAAATGAAAAACCAGCACCTATTAGACACATGGGTGATTCTGCCAGAAGCGATAAATCGCCACCAGCAGTTATGTCATTGCAGGATAGCCTTCAACTTACCTCTGTGGAATTGTTCCTACCTTGGCTTTGAATGCGATCCTGAAGCTAGTAAGTTGACACCAGCATCAAAATAACTTAAGTGACATGACCCTGAAGCATACCGAAAAAAGGGAATTTTCTCTTTAAACTTTCAGATGTCTTATTTAGGACAATATTTCATTAGAATGTGTATTTTAATGTCAGTTAGGAAATTAATAACCACAGGTTTATACTGCTTCCAAATTCCAAAGAATACAGGACAGATCTTATGATCATGATATTCTAAAATTTTATCTTACTCGTCAGTGGCAAATAATAGATTCCATTATTAAATAGATAATGTCCATTTTAAAAGAACAATCGTTAAGAACTTTTCATTCTTGTACAATTTCTAAAGCGATTCCCAATACATAATTCAGCCATGGTAATCAATTGAAATATATCACTTTTTAAAAATGTATGAGCAATTATCCATTTATATTCTCTCATAGTCCAGTTTTTCCTTTATTTTTTGCAGGATACTGGATCGCTACAGACATTTTATGATTGATATTTTAAAGGATCAGCAGTGTATTATTGCAGGTGATACAAGAATCCACTTGACGTTGGATGACCTAGTAAAATTTCATAAACAATTTCCTTTGCATTCATATAATGAAATTTTAACTCTTCCGTGTGGTCAGGTATGTTTCAAAGTCACCTTAACCTTACTGATTGGTTATAAGTTTATCGGAGACTAGAAACAAACTTTCAGATGTAGCTGCAAGATAAAAGCATTTCTAGTGACTCTGTAGCCTTTCAAAAAAAATTAATAAGAAGCGCACTGAAAAAAAAACATGATTTACTATATACTCGTCTATCCTGCTGCTTCTGCATATGACACTTACTGAAGTGTCTGATGCGCATGTCCTGTCATGTGCTCTGGTAACTTCCTCAGGACCAGGAGAGGTAGGGGCTGACGGGAGGGCCCACAGGTCACAGCGTGGGACCATACATGTGAAACACTGGTAAATGTGTTGCATGCTGTACCTGTAGCTTTTGTAGGTTCCAGAATGAGCAGCAGGATAGGTGAGTATTACAGTGTTCTTTTGAAGGGTTCTTATTAGTATCAGAGTTGCATTAAAGGGTTAGTCCACCCAAACCCAAAGTATACCTTGTCGGTGGATGCTACCAAACTAAAGTACCCATTTTCTTCCAATACCTATAGAGGCAAAATGTCCCTAAAGTTTCGTAACGAATCCTGTTCCTTCATCTGGCAAAACAAAGTTTTGTTTTGCCTGATGTAGGAAGCGGATGTGTTCCAAAACGTTATTACACTTGGTGATGTAACTTTACACATGTAATTAAAAGAACTTTGCTTGAAGAACCTTTGGAGTGCTGGGGACTTACTGTTTTGGTTCCAAATACAGAACACTGCCTCCAAATGAGGGACAGTTAGGAACTATGACCACAAGAGCCCATACCCAAAGGCCATTCAGGAATGCCCTGCCACACTTATAGGCTGCTAAGTAGATCACACCTTTACAGTAGGTAGGAACAAAGGGTTGAGAACAGCTCTGCTGATGCTCTTCATTCAATCTAGGTCTGAACATAAAAAGCAGGAACATTTCAATAATATAACCATATCTTAATCTGGTCTCCGCATACAGCTATGCGTAAGAAAGCCTGACTTCATTGTAATTTTTCATTATCTCCAGTTTCCTGTGTGAAAAGGTCTGCTGGTCACAAATATAATGCATTACTTTTCTTGAATGGTAAAGATTTTTGAAAGAATTAACATCATCAAATGATTTAAAACATAGTGAGGGGGATTTATCAAAACTGGATAGCTGTGCTGTGCAGCTGTTCACACTAACCAATCAGCTTCTCTCTTTCATTTTTAAATCTAACTGAAGAAACTGAAGAGAGAAGCTGATTGGTTGCCCTGGGCAACTGCTCTAGATTTTGCCTGCTGCTGTTTTGATTAGACATGTGCAATTTGTTTCGTTTTTTAATTGAAAATCGTACGATTTCCGAATAACAGAAATAACGAATCTGACCGAATCCGAATGTTTGATATCGAAATTTGGATAAACTGAACACAGCAAGCGGGAGAGCTGTCATTTACCACTCTCTGGCTTCTCTGCACTTGTATCTCAAATGAAAACAAAGTAACACAATATTGTTAGAAAATGTAAGTAATGAAAGAAACTGAGAGATCTCTGGTATTCTGTAACAGCTTCTGCTTCTTTGCAGACATTTCCATCTCAAATGTAAAGAATCTGACAGCTGTCACAGAATACACAAAATTGTTTAACTGTTCACAGAAATAGGTAGGAATGTTAGGGGGGACCCCATATAATAATAAAAAAAGTGTGCAGTTTCCCGGCAATTCATACCAGACCCTTTACGCCTGGTAGGAATTTAAGGGGGAACCTCAATGCCAAAAATGTAACAAAACAAAATGGAGTCCCCCCTAAAATCCCATACCAGACCCTTAATCAGGGCCGCAGCCTAGCAGGGCAGGAAAGGGGGGGGACTAGCGAGTGACCTCCCTCCACCATACCAGGTCATATGCCCTCGGCATTGGGAGGGTGCTTTTCCAGGGGGGGCACAAGGGCCTCTTCCCCACAACCCTGACCCGGTGGTTGTTTGGCATTGGGGTTCCCTAAAGGGTCTGGTATGAATTGCCGGGAGACCACACGCTGTTTTTTTTTTTTTTTAGATCATGGGTCCCCCACGACATTCCTACCAGACCTAAAGGGTCTAGTATGAGTTAGGGTGGGGACCCCACGCTGGTGTTTTTTTGGTGTTAGAAATTAAAAAGAGAGTAAACATGTAGTAACACTTTTCTGCAACCAATTATAGTTGGTAATGATAATTTAACTCATCCGAATGCCAAAACAAATTCACTTTCAGACTCAAAGCCCGAAAAATGAAATAACTAAACATCCAAAATAAAACTAAACACATTTTTTGCTGGCTTACATGTCAAGTTTTGATAAGTTCCCCTGAGTAAATTATACTTTTTTTTTTACTGTTTCCTTTATAGAAATCAGATGCATCTAAAGACTATGAAGAATTATTCGAGGATAGGAAAACATTTGCAACACCTTTGCCGATGCCATCAAAGGCTTCCGTTGGTGCTTTAGCTGCCTCTGGTGCAACATTGCAGCCAGCCTGCCCCCCCATACCACGCAGAAGATGTCAAACTCCTAAACCTAGTTCTGAAACCCTGAGTACTCCGTGTATCCTACCTCCAAATCAGCCAGTAAACAGACTTTACCCAACACTACCAACACAACTCCCAATGTCAAACAATAGTGTAAGTATGGAAGTATAATATGGCTGTTGTGTGATCTGCTGGGTAATCAATCAATTACTGACATGTTTTCCATCCGAATATACTATGTAAAAACATATTTAAAAGAAAATCATAATAAATAAAAATAAATAAAGTATACATTCTGTATGCAGCGATATCAGTTTTTCGGTATAGAGTATGGGTACCGATATATATATTTTTTGGTACTCGCCGATACCAAATACCGATACCAGAAGTCCCATTAAGGAAGCGGGGCGGCGTGTAATGACTCACCGCCCAGTTTCTTGATTAACCAAGAAGCTGTCTCCATCCTCCCTCATCACCAGGTGATGAGGACACATGGAGCTGGCTTTCTGGCCAATCTGGAAGCCGGGGAGCGGGTATTGACTTGCTGCACGGCTTCCTGTTTGGCCAGTTTTGCGACCAATTGGGAAGGCGAGCGTCAAGTAATCACTCACCGCCCCCTGCTTCCTGAATGGTCGGGAAGCCAGCTCCATGCTCCTTCGTTACTAGGTGACAAGGAAGCATAGAGCCTGCTTTCTGGCCATTCAGGAAGCTTGGGTTGAGTAATAACTCGCCACCTGGCTTCCTGATTGGCCAACTTCCCGAACAATCAGGAAGCCGGGCGGCATGGAATGACTCGTCGCCGCCTGGCTTCCTATTGCGTACCTGGTTTAGAGTCTGAGTGTGTGGAGGCCTCCCTTGCACAGAGTCCAAGTAGACAGCAAGTGCACGAGTGCCAGTGGTGATAACACTGTGCAAGCCGATATCCAGGAATGCTGGTAACAGAAATCCAAGTAAGCAACCCGGGGGCAGATCCAATCGAGCAGTCACAGTACAGAGGGGTCAGGCAAAATCAAAGTCCAGTAAACAAATCCGAGGTCAGGGGGGCAGGCAGCAAGCAAGAATCGTCAGGTCCAATCCGGGTCAAAGCAAGGCAAGAAGAATATCACAGGAGAGCTGAAAGAGAATCCAGCAAAATGGTGGTGCTTGAGCCGGCCTTTTATAGGGGAAGTAGTTAGGTTAATGTGTCACTTCCTGTGTGCCATTTTGTGTCACTTCCTGTGTGCCATTGTATGTCACTTCCTGTGTGCCATTTTGGCATGCTTTTACACGCTGGAGGCGATCTTCTGTGCATGCGCGGAATGGTACGATTCTCACTGGTATGGCAATGCGCTCTTGGCGCATGCGCAGTTACAGGGGCTCTCTGACAGGATCTCTTACACTTCCTGATACCAGAAGGTATCGGCATAAGTATCGGAGCATTTGGGCGAGTACTCGGTATCAGTACCGATACTAGTATCGCTATCGGTGCATCCCTAATTTAAAAAAAAATATATATATATATATATATATATATATATATACAGGGGACAGATAGAGCTTTCTTTTGGAGGTATATAATCACCTCGGGGGGGTGATTAGTATATAATGAAAAAAGTACAGTAAATGTAAAAAAGTTTCCCTACGTTCTGTTATAAAAAATTTATTCTTACCCATATTTTTGGTAAAACATAATGGGCCCATAGGCCCATAGGCGACACTTAAAACACTTTTACTGCTCATCAGTTTAGTGTTATCAGTGATTAATAGCCTTAAAATTATTGCTCTCACTCCGACGTTTGCGGCGATATGTAACATGTGCGGCACAATAGGCGCAATCGTCGTTTCCGCACGTAGGCGCACCGGATGCATATCTGCGTGTGTATGTGGGGGGCATTTTTTTTATGCTTCTTTCATTTTTGTATTACTTTTTTTTTTTTTACACACCACTTTATTACTATTACATGGGGGGCTAAGAAGCCCCCTATGTGATAGCCAATTTACATGACAGGTCCTCTTTATGGAGACAGGTCCCCTAGGGACCCCCAGAGAAGCTGATGAAGCAGAGATCGGCTTTATGGAGACAGGTCCCCTAGGGACCCCCAGAGAAGCTGATGAAGCAGAGATCGGCTTCATCAGCTTCTGTAGCTGGAGAGTGACACTGAATGCAGGAAGTGATGTCATCTGCATCACTTCCTGCATTTGGGGACTGAGAGAAGATCAAAGGGAGACTGTATACTGATCTCCCTTTGATCTCCTGTCACAGAGCCGTGCAGGTCCCGGCCGCATCGGGCACAGCGGATCTCGGGACCGGCAACGGCACTGACAGCTGCTAATACAAGCGATCAAGCGTCTCTAGAGACGCCCGATCGCTTGAATGTCAAGTTCCCTGCCGGCCGTGTAATTACAACGGCCGGCCGGGAAGCTGCTCGTCGGGCTCCACCGTCCTCTCATCACAGACGAGCGGACGAGTGGATTTTTCAAGCCCTGTGTGTGTATATATATATATATATATCTTATTGTATGGAAACATCATTCCTTTATCATCATATGATTCCAGGGAATTGTATAACTCTACAGGTAAAGCCCATTAACATCAGAAACTGTAAACTTTAAAGTGACATAAAAACCCTCAGATTGTTTAACAATACTGTAATGCGTGCCTTACTGTAATCCATGGTTGTTTCCCTCCTCTTTGCTGCTCTTCCTTTTAAATCCTCATGTCTTCTCATGCTGGGGGAGAACTTCCCTTTTCAGCTCGGGGCCTCTTCCTGTAGTGCTGGCTCAGGTTTCAAGCCCATACAAACTAATACACAGACACCGTGTATCCATTCCTGAGACAAGGCAGTCTGCTGCAAAACAGAAGTTCTGCCCAGCATGAGAACAGATACAGATTTAAAAGGAAGAGCAGCAAAGAGAAGGGGAACAACCATGGATTACAATAAGGCACACATTACAGTATTGGTTTATGTTAAAAAATCTGAGGGTTTCATGTCACTTTAATAATGCTAAGCCAACTATTTCAATTTGCTTCCTAAAGCTGACCACACATGTTACTAACTTAAGTAATCTTAAGATTTACCAAGATTTACCAACATCTATGTAGTGTGAGTTGAAACCTGAGCTGGATGTGAATTGAATTGGTTTTTTTTCAGTGTATATAGTTGTTGCTAAATTTAAAATGGATTTTACAGAGATTGTACAAGCAGATTGTAAAGTCCTGTGCTACATATTTGGTAAACATTGAAATAAATTATACCAGAAAAAACAATGTGAAGATTACAATACTATACTATGTGCATTTTAACAGCACTGTATAAATTCTCTTTTTCAGCATTTTGTGTTATCAAATACACATCCAGCTATGACAAAGTCAAATTCTTTAGATTCACCATTTCCCCCTGAAGCTCTTGACACAAATTCTCAAATTAAACAAGAAGAGATGCAAGGGCATACGTCAGCGAAACCATTGAAAGCTTATCGGAATGCAGTGACAAAATCTGTATCTTTAATGACGGAGGGGAAAATAGCTCAAGATTTCAAGAAAATGGAAACTGCTATGGCGACACACTTGAGAAGTGTGAAGGAAAATTTTGAGCGCTTTGGACAAACAGGACAAAGAGATGGAAGCCCAAAACTTAAAGTTAAACACACAACAATACCAGAGGAGTACAAGGCACCTCCCCCATTTGCGCCAGGCTTTCCTTAAATGGAACTTGCTGAGCTGAAAAACTGACAAGGCAACATTGATGTACATACAGGAGAAATGTATGAAGGATACAAAAGGGTGATTGCCTACTGATCCTCCGCTGAGGATCCGGAATGGCCAAAAGGCTAACATAGGTCATATTTACAGACGTTGCATTTTTGATTGTGACTCACGCCTCCAAACAAACTAGTGTTGTACTATATAATTTAAAATAGGATTCACAAGCATTGAAGTGTAACTGTGGCCAGGCTAGGGGCATCCAAGTATTTACAAATTCTTACCAAGCAGTAAATGAGCTTTAAAGGCATCACTGAGCTCTAAAACTGTACAAACTGTAAAATAAATAATTCTTAAAGTTTACAGCAGAAGCACTTAAGTCATTCAAGTCTCTCTCTCTCTCTCAACTTACCCTGGAGGAGGAAGGAGTGCAGCCCAGAAATATTAATTGCAGGACAAATGGGTGATTGGAAAGCTGATTACAGATTACCTGTTCTGTACTTACATTAGAAAATAGAAGGATGGAAGGCTGTTAAGTCACTTTTGGGAAAGGGAGCAGAGTGGGATGAGTTGGCTTAGACAAGGACTTTAGTGATTCTTCCATGAACTTTTAGGAAGAATTGCTCCTCAGTGCCTGCAGCTACAGAGGTCATTGAGGGCCTGTCGTAAAGCTCAATAACTGCTTGCTAGGAAAATGTAAATATTTGATAGTCCATAGCCTGGCTACAGTTCCACTTTAAAGCTGATCTTGTATAGCTGGTTAAACAGTCACATTAAAATGATATATTCAGTAAATAATTTCCCATTTCAGCCTCAAATAATAACATAACATACCAAAGTTACTAATGCCACTGTCTTGTCTACACAAGATAAGCATTTTCTGGGAAGCAGCATGTTATGACACATTTCACTCATGGTGCCCACAGGCATTAGTCACTTTTGTCCAATCAAGCTGTTTACATTCCAATCAAGGAATATATTTATATATGTTTGTAGAGACTTAAACTGGAAACCATCCTTTGTTCAAAGGTGGATGTGGATTTACTTTACTTACCTGAACTCTTAGAATTTATGTTGTTTTCATAGGCTTCATAAAGAGAACCCATGAATGCACAAATGTTTTAATGATAGCACTGTTACAAATCTTGTAGGTAAACTATTAGAACTATACAAACGTTTGATGCTTTTACAAAAAGTGTGGGAATTCTTTTATTACATATTTTATATTTTGTACTGATTTTGTGTATTTTTTTCTTGTGTAAAAACATTTCATATGATGCATTTTCTGTGATCCTAAAGATGCTAAACAACTATTTTGCACATACATAGATATTTCAAGTAAGAGAGTTAAGTTATATATTTCTGTATGTTGTTTAGAACGCTAAGAAACACTAGTGGGTCTTTATGTCAGTCCATAAAATAAATTATATCTTTTATCTCCGATTTCATTTGTTGTAATCCATATGCAAAGCTACAAAAATGTTTAAACCTAATATCAGTCTTATGCAGTTGTTCTGAACGTGGCATGAAGAAATTTAGCAGTGGGTAGAGAATGGCAAACGTAGACTGTAGAGAGCCCATGTATAAGGAAACAGTTTGGACTCCTTGGAAGATCATCTTTGTTGTTCAACAAAGCCTCTTGGCCACTTGGCAAGTTTGTATCCATAATGAACTGATGGGTTATTTATTCTTATTTCACTCAAACACCTCTGATTGAGGCAATGACAAAGAATGGACTTTTACACTTGTCTCTTGTGTCTGTTTCAATTTATTTCGGTGCTCCACCTGACGTTTCACACCTTACCATGGTGACTTGGCTTCCTTTTAAGGACAGCCCCATGCATATCCCTCTACGACTTGTATCAAGACATGAGTCACTCCAAATGCTAATAATGACTTATTACTAGGGATGCACCGATACCGATGCAAGCATCGGTATCGGCCGCGATACCGAGTATTTGCATGAGTACTCGTACTCGTGCAAATGCTCGGATGTCTAAATCGAGTACCTGTGTCTGCTATCTTCCACCGCCGCACACAGCACACAGGACCGCGTCTGCATTAATTCAAGATGGCCGCGATCTCCTTCTCCATGGGCGAACGGCCGAAAGCAGACTCCGCCTTCAATTCCTCTAACCCACCTACATTAGGTTATTTTTTGTTGGCTTTGTTCCCACTGGGGAGATCACATCAGTTCTTATATTATAGACATGATAGGAATCTCCCTATAGTTATGGGAAATCACATCTTTGAGAGTCATCACCAGAACAGATGCCCCTGTTGGAACAATTTCTTACTGATCTGCTGAGAGTTGGTAAATTTTGGGTTATCCCCCCATTTTTGCCCAGCTAAGCCCCCCTGCCTGCTGACCCCCACAACCACCGTGGGGAAGAGACCCTTGTCATCAACATGTTGAGGGCATGTGGCCTGGTATGGCGAAGGGGAAAATTCCTACCAGACCTGAATGGCTGGGTGTAACACCCTTTACAATCTATATTCATTCTCATTTGCGCAAGAATTCATTTACACAATCATAGCTTTGAGACTAAATGCAGTTGTACAGAAATCAGGTGATATAACATACACTGCCAAAGTAAACTTTACCACAAAAATAATCTACTAAAATGTAAAGCATATTGAACAAGTATTAGTGATCTGAGTTCTATGGGGAGCCAGGTAATATATTAAGAACATTATTATTAAGGTCATTATCCATGGTTATTAAATTAAAAAAAACAACACCAATGTTTCGAGAATCAGGACCCAAGCATTCACACGTGGCCAGTTTACAGGAACAGTGGATGAGTTAAAGTGCATTATTGCAACAGAATGTTTACGGGGGTCAGTCTGCAAGACACAATGGAAAAAGTTACAATGCTGTATGCAGAAATTCATCAAATCAAGGTTGCACGTGTACAGTCAGTTTTCAGAGGTGACTTAGTTGTTTCTTCCTATTCCAAACAGATGAATTCCATTTCCACAGCAGCTTCTAGATATTACATTCTGATTTTGCATTGAAATTCCAACATCAAGAGTAACCACTTTAGAGGCACACAATGGTTAAATCCGGATGTGGAAAGTGCTATTCAGAGGGGGAAAAAAGAGAAGAAATAATATTAACAAATAATACTAGAAACAATATTTTTGTTGGATATTTGCTTTCAATATCATGGTATTGGGTTAAGCAGATTTTTGGTGTAAAAGTGTTGTTGATGCCACCACCAGCCTCCCGAAATCAGAGTGGATAGGGAAACCACAGATCACCAGGATGGCACCCATAGCCACAAGGAAGGTTGTCGGCCCTTAAAAGAACACTAAACTCAGTAGTTAAATCTTAAAAATGTATTTAAGTACTTTAACTATTAGCATAAATGTATCTTATTTGTGTATCACTCAGCTGTAGATCCTCAAATCATCTCTGAATTCATTCTGACACTGTCCTTGCTTCGGCAGGGTGGGTTCTATTGTTCATCATGGTCCCTGTGTGTGTTCTAAAGTAGCCACTGCTCCAAGCTTGCTTCTGTGATGGACTACAATCTCAATACAAATTAGTAAACTAAACATGAGATTGTTGTCCACCGCGGGAGTGATCTTGGAGCGGTGGCTACTTTACAACACACACAGGGACCATGGGGAGCAAAAGTAGCCACCCTCCAGAAGGAAGGACAGTGTCAGCATGAATTTAGAGATGATTTGAGGATCTCCAGCTGACTGATACAAAAATAAGGTACATTTTTGTTAATAGCTAAGGTACTTGAATGCATTTGTAAAATGTAACTCCTGAGGGTGTCACTTTAATGATGTTAAAAGGAAAATGTCACCGGTACAAGGAGAAGAATGATAGTGAGAGAAGGCCCTGTGAAGAATGTGTGTGTGGGGCATGTATTAACCACATATGGGGGTAGTCAATTCACAAATAGTATTATTTTTTATTATTATATGCAACAGGTCTGGTACTGATAGTTTCCATTTTTCTGTTGTGATGTATGACTTTGATGTGTCAAAGGCATGTCTTTTATACTAAAAAATATACACATTTAATAATAAAAGTAGTACAGTAGAGAGTACTGGCCACACTAATAACTTTAGGTCCAGTCGTTACATAAAGGTATACTGCCATTAACCTTTTTAAGCATTACAATCTTAACTAGAAAGCTGTATAGTGGATTTAGATAAATGTAATTTTCCATATTGTCTCTGTAGTTTTGGATACTTGGGGAACGCTTATAGATACAGAAGTGAATAACCTTAGCCTAGGTTCACACTTGAGCTTCTTCAAGTATTTTTGGAGCTGCTTTTTGCACATTTTATACATGTTTTAAAGTGTTTTTCATGCTTTTTTTCATGTGCTGTATAAGTTTTAGCGATTTTGTGTAAGCGAAAGGAAAACATTTTTTTGTGACAGCAAGGCTTCCTCCATTTTGTTACAAGCACAAGGGTTGCTAGAAGGAGGACACTGGTTGCTAGGTTGGAAAATGTGCAAAAAAAACTTGCTAAAATGCTTGTATCACACATTTTCAAGCACTTCCATTGAAATCTATGGGAGAAAAAACACACAGTCAAGCCCTAGAAAAGCTTGTGGACTTCTTTGCTGTGACCAGTAGCAGCACAGAGTTCAAGTGTGAACTGCCACCATAAGAAACGGCAGGAATTCTCATGTTGAGCATAGAAGCGCTTATGGAAAAGTGCTTCATGTCACTCGGATGTGAACCATGTGTAAAATGCTTTTACGCTCTTTTGTAAGGAATCTGTATATTAGTATGTTTTTAGTAAGTTTAGTAAGTTTTTCAGTTGTGTTTGATGTACTTATAAAAAAAATAAGCACAATGAAAATTGCAAAAATTGTGGTGTTGAATTGTGGCAGTTTTGATTATAGTAAGTGCTACAAAGTGTCTTGTGTTACCTGAGAAAGTCCGGAGCTCTAATGATCATGTGTTGGAAATCTTCCAGAGACAGCTTTCCATCGTTGTCTACATCAGCTTCGTCTATTACCTTATCACATACCAGACACACTTCTTCTGGTGTTAGCTCATTTCGAGTGAGCTTGTTCAGTGTCTTTTCCAAATCTGATTTACATATGTAATCATCATTATTGAAATCTGAAAAAATGTTTAAAAAAGATACCTAAATCATCAATAAAATTGTTAAACTGTATTGGTACCTTATTCTCAATTGCCCTCTATGTGCACAGAAAGTGACAAATATTCTGCATAACTCGTAATCTAAGATTATATAAAAGTGCTATTTAAAGATATGGAACATGTAGCCATACTTTTTTAAGTGATTACTGAGACTGGTTATTTCAACGAATTATCCTGTGATGCAGCATATTAGTTTGGGGTCTGAACATTCTGATTTGTTACATTTGTTTGGGCATACTTATAAATGGATAAACCAAGGGCATAACTATAGGCATAGCAGTCCATGCATTTACTATTGGGCCCAGGATTGGAGATGTGGGAAGGGGGTGAGGAGATAGTGACTGAAATTATTGGTGGTACAGTGGGATGTCACTTAGGTGTGGAGCATCACCTTGCTCACCTAGCTGGAGCTTACTGCAAGGTAAATTAATAGGTCAAGTAAGAAGGTGTACACAGTCAATTCTCACTAATATAGTGAGTGTATGCTTCCTTTTATAGCATTGCAGGTTAGTGGATAGGGACTTTTTTTTACTCTAAGACACAGGCCTTCCAGGACCATTTCTTTAGGGTAGTTTGTCTTTTTCCAGGACTGTCTCTCACTTCTCCTTGGGAAAGTTCGCCCATGTTAAAGGCCCCCCCAAACCAGCATCTTCACATGTCTTTTTACCATGGTGCATTTTACACATATGTTACTTGGCAGACATAATTTCTCCAAGCTGAAGGGGCCTCATAAAAATTTAGTTATTGGGCATGTAATAGATTGTTATACCCAGACCCAAAACTGTGAACATATTTCCTCATGTCTTTTCATGCCTGCCTTTGAAGAGATGTGTTGCTTTATATGCCCCATTCTTTCTCTCCTTCCACAGCTAGCCTGTCATGCCTGTACACTGACAGAAGGGACAAAAAAGACTAAAGTCAAATGTTACAGGAATTCTCAGTTCCTGTACAAAATTTAATTTCTTGTCAAAATGTTTGTGCTGGTCTTAAGTCAAGTGATGTGTAGGATATAACCAGGTATCTCCGAAGACTCTAAGGTGTCATGCGCACTGATCTGTTATGTGGGGGAAGGGATTCCTGTGGGAACCTGCAATCTGTGGGGACAAGCATCTATCCCGATCCTCAGGTAATCCTTCTATGTATGATTACATGCGGACAGCCAGGTACGGATGTGGCTGCTGTGAGTCTGTCAGTCACTTAAATAGGCATGGCAGACGTGTCTGTATGGACCCATATGGGATTCCAGCCTTAAAAATCCACAGGTTCTTGCTGTTGGAATCCCAAGCCACACATAATAGAACCATGTAGCCTAATGGTGTGGGATATTCCTAATTCCATAACTGCCTCCAGTATGTGTTGTTCTTATTGGAACAACAAGTAATTTTATTGGAAGATATTCCATCTATACATGTTCCTTTAGGAATTGCATAAATGTTGCCTTCCCATCCCTTATTTGTGGTGGAAACAATGGTGACAAGGACAAAAGAAAGTTTTCTTCCACTCTTTATCCAAAACAAAAGCAAAATACATGGGATATTGTATTCTCCAATCTTACCGCACGTTCTACAGAATCTACCTGCAGACATTGTGCAGAGATGGTTTTAATCGATCATTGGTGTTACTTTCACAGAGTAAAAGTTACTTACTAGTTAGTAAAGCCTTTACATGTATTTTGTTTTAGTACAAGACTTGCAGCATATGTATATATGCTATCCAGGGTAAATCAAAGTCAGTTAGTAAAACTAATTACTGTAATATGCATATTCTATAATATATATTTTAAAGTATCACAAATTATTTTCTTTTTTTTATTACAATTTTTTTTTTAGCTTTAGAGCAGGGAAAGGTCAGGACTGCGTTACCTTATGTTTTGCTGCCTGTGTCCCCTTTTGGGAGATTTTGTTTACTTTTTGCCCCAGAGAAAAAACAGGAAGTGAGAAAAAGGGGTTGATTTACAAAAGGCAAATAAGGTGTTCACTTTAGTTAGTTTTCTTAGTTTAGTGAATGTGGTAAAAATGTACTTTGCAAAGAATACCAAGTCATGTGCAAGCAAAATTTTTAAAAAAAAGCATTTTTGCTTAAACATGATTGGATGATGGAAGTCAGTTTTTGACCTCCCATCACTTTTCGTCTCAGTGAGCATGGCCAACAGGACAAATAGAAAGAAAGAAGAATCACACACAAACTAACCATATATTTTGAAAGCATAATATGCTTTAAGATCTCGAGGAGCCATTTCACTAAGCACTGAGAACATGTCTAGAAAATCATCCAGTGTCATGTTTCCATCCCCATCTTCTGAGAAAACTTCAGCTATCCTCTGGCGAAATGGGTTATCCTGCAAACAATTGTAAATACAGTAGTTTTTAAAATTCATGTATAATAAGGATCAAATCATTTTCTTTGAGAAGAAGGGTTATTATTTTCCTTTAATTCTACTGGACTAATATTACGGGCAGATACTGTATGTGTGTTTAATGTTAAAAAGCAAAATTACAAGTCATGTCCCACCTCCTAGGATTTCCTATTGAGACTGCCCATTTCATTCAAGAAACAAATGGAAATTGAAGGAGGTAAGTCACCTGTCATTCAGGCTGTCACTTGTGATGCAAAATGATTTTCTTTAAATTACATAGATACATAGTATTTGAGGTTGAATAAAGACACAGGTCCATCGAACTCAACCTTTGTGAGTGAGTGTGTGTATGTGTATACAAGTCTGTGTGTTTTCCAGTCAATTACAAATTAAAAAGACCAAAAACTGATGATTCTACATTTTATGAGGATAACAAGAAAAGCTAATTTAAAAAACTGTATATAGAACACACACCATAGTTTTCTCTGTATTACACTGATGGAATAAAATGTACTAGTGTTGTCCAAGTATTGTGATTTTGGCTTACAGTTTATGCAATATACAAAAATATCATCTAAAGGCAGACCTTTTTCCTTTTTAGCAGACTATTTTTGCGCTTTTGTGTTAAATCTGGAGCTGACTTTTTTTATTTGATACAAGTAAGATACATACCGTACTGTTTGTTCCATTGAATTTGATATTCTGTTTTTGTTCTGGTATTTTGAAAACTAAAATGTATTGTTTGAGTTCATTCTGGGATCAACAGGTTAGACAAAGTCCAAATCAGCCCTTTATATGAAACTGAGATGGTACCCTGCCATAAAGAAGAACTTTGGTCTTTACTGTGTATTATGTTAGGCTTCATTTATCATCCCAGTCCTGCCAATTAGCACGTGATGAATTATGAATGAAGCACGGGATTAGAGTGACACCTGGCAACCTTTGCAGTTACTGCTTTTTTCATGCTTTACCTTCAGCTCTGGCATGCTGCCTATAAGTTCATAAGGAATCCTCACATCTGGTTTATTTGTGTAGTCTTCTGGAACAAGTTGTGGTGCCAGGTCTCTGTATCTGTAGAAAAGTCTAAAAGGAGAAAGAACAGTGTGTGCATTTAAAATCGATCTGTCAAAGTCAACAACAAAGCAACATGGAACTGAGAACTGCAGAGAGGCCCATGAATTCTGAAGCTTAAAGGGTTATTAAACCTAGCATTCAGTAGATATATGCAAAAACATAAAAAAAACAAAAACCTTTTCAAACAGGTTAAAACTTACCTGTGTCTTCGCCGCGCGCTCCCGTCCGAACATCTGAAAAGTCTCAGGCGGCCGCAAAGGATCTTGGGGCGGGCACATGCGCAGTTCAGATCTTCGGCCAGGAGACGAGGAGAGACACAAGGTAAGTCTATGGAGCAGCGTGCACCCGAACAGACTCCGTGGGACAGGAAGTGCCACCTAGAACAGAGGAGTCAGCACTGGATCGGAGACCGGCACTAGCCCTGGAGGGACAGCTAAAAACTACACTACAAGAAGAAGATGATCGGATCAAGAGGCATCATTTAAGGTAAGTCCTTACACTAACATTGGGGGGGGGGGGGGGGGGAAATATCCTTTAATGTCACTTTAAACTTGTAGACTGGAAAGAGAGGTTATCAAATTGTGATAAAGAAATAGACTTTTATGCAAATATATTGTTTTGACAGGGTTCAGCAGTATCACAGGGAATTGAAGCTTAAAATGCAAGATTGGACACAATGGTCCATGAAGTTTGAAATTTCATGACAACTGATTTATTGACAATGTTTGGTAATGTCGAAGAAAAAGTTATATATGTTCTTACAAAGTAGACCCTGCAGCCAGTATTTGTTTTTACATTCACCAATAGGGAAAGAGGGCAATAGAATACCCATAGAATAGATTATAAATAATTAGCTCCTAATAATATTTTTTTTAAACTATTTTCTGTAATTAGTATCACACATCTTCAATCTTGTTATCAGTTAGTCAGCCTCTTTAAATGGAGAAAAGTATTGGTATCATGTGTTCACCACACTCAACATGTACCAGAGAAAGCAAAGGAGAGAGTTATCTGAGGATATCAGAAAGGAAATTATAGACCAGCATGTCAAAGGTAAAGGCTGTCAGACTGTCCAGCAGCTTGATGTATTTCTGACTACAGTGGCAAATATTAAGAAATTTAAGGGCCATGGGGTGTAGTGAACCTCCCTGACATGGCCAAAAGAGTAAAACTGACCATAGGTTGAATGTTAGACAAAGAGCCAAGGAAAACTTCCAACCTGAACTCCAAAGTCAAGGTACATCAGTGTCTGATAACACCACAGTCACACCACAGTCTCAAAGAAAGAGATTAAAAAAAATCAAAAACATACAAAAGCCAGACTGGAATTTGCTAAAATGCATACTAAACAGTCACAAAGCTGGATCTTTTTGGCAAGTCACATCAGCTTTATGTTCACAGACAAAATAAAGCTTTCAAATATAAAAATATGATACCAACTGTGAGACTTGGTTATATTTTGTGGCTGCTTTGCAGCATTCGGCACAGGGCGCTCTGAATCTGCACAGGGTACAATGAAATCTCAAGACTATCAAGGAACTCTGGAGCAAAACGTACTACCCAGTATCAAAATCTGTGACGCTATCCCAGTCACAAGTCATGGGTCCTCCAATGGGATAATGACCCAAAACACACAGCGGAAAGCATTCAATGGCTAAGAGTAAGAACAAAACATTGGCCTATTCTATAAACCATGATCTGAATCTTAGCAAACATCGATGGAAAGAGTTGAAACCTAAAGACCGATAGGACACCTTTCAAACCTGAGAGAGCCAGAGCAATTGGCTCAAGAAGAGCGGGGAAACTATCAGTTGGCAGGTGCAGAAGTCTCATTGACAGTTACAGAAATCACGTGGTTATCTCTAAAGGTTGTACAACAAAATATTAATTTACACATAATTTTTGCCCATACCATTTTCATTGGTTTTATAACTTAAAATAATCTGTTGAACCAAAAATCAAATGCAAAGTCTGATTTTAACTAAACGCAATGATGGATGCCAATTACTTTGACCAGTTTCAAGTTGTTTCAGAGTATTGAGGGTTCTTCTTTATTCATTGAAGGGTTCCATAAAATATGTCCATGTCTGTAAGCGTTATCATGGGCAGAAATCTGAGAACGTTTTTTTCAAAGGACTGCATAGCTGTTTTTTCATATTTATATTATATATTAGGGTAATTTATTTATGTATTAAATTAATAAAAAAAGATTGACAGTTTAATGTAGCATTTTGTATCTGTATGACAAAATGAACTGTGTGCCTGCCATCACAGATGCAACTGTGCTTACTGAAGAATTGTTTATAAAAGCATCCAGAAGTTTGTGGTGTTGGAGGTAGAAGCTGCACCATTAGATCTGTTTAAAAAGCAGAGAGAATAATACAATTATTTCTAAAAGATACAGCTCTTCAATAGAGATGGTTTGTATATTGATGGCATCATTACATACTGTATATGACCAGCATACTATATGATGTTTTTGAACCAGAAATCTCTAAATCTATAGCAGTGTGAGATGGGTAAGACCCACTATCCCTGTTATATTCCTTACTGATTACATGTAATTTGTATAAAGAAGGGCAAATAAAAGAAATTGAACATTTACATTAGTGGCTAATGAGTTATTGATTTAAAGTCCAACTGAACTTTCACTTTAAATTTGTTAATTACATTTCAAGTGCATTAAACGAAAAGGTGCTCAAAGTCTTATCTTCCTTTCTTTAAAACAACAGTCACAGAGTACAAAACTGGTTCTGTGCTTGCATGCTGCAGACAAAGACCCTTACTCTCTGTGTGGAGGCATTGGTCTATCTGCAGAGGTCCAAAACATACACATTGAATCAGCGCTAGAACACTTCAATCAGCAGGAGCATTATATTTTGCTGATTAGAGTTAAGGAGGCATGACTCAGTGGGGGCCAGGGCCCCATCAGGGGGTATGACCGATACCCATGTAAGGGGCTCGGGCCCCTACCAGGGGTGGGCCGACTTGGCAGAAACTGTCCATAGAGCGAGCGGCATGGCAGGGTCGAAGGCTGGGGGGGTCTACTGATAGGGGAGGAAGTGGAGGAGGCCGGGGCCCAGCAGCGCCGGTCTGGCGACGGAGGAGGCCGGGGTCCAACAGAGCTGGTCTGGTGTGTCCAGAGGCGGTGGTAGAGGAGGCCAGGGCCCAGCAGCGGCAGGTAAGGGACCCTGACCAGCCCACCTGAGACCCTGCAGAGCCCACCATAGAGAGTCTCAGATGGGCTGTGCAGGATCTATGGTGGGCTCTGCAGGGTCACTGTCAGGTGGGCTGTGTGGGGTCTCAGGTGGGTCCTGAGTCCAGTGCGTTACTAAGTCCTGAGTCCAGTGTGTTACTAAGTCCAGAGTCCAGTGGGTTAATAAGTCCTGAGTCCAATTCATTACTAAGTCCAGAGTCCAGTGCGTTACTAAGTCCAGAGTCCAGTGCGTTACTAAGTCCAGAGTCCAGTGCGTTACTAAGTCCAGAGTCCA